CATGCATACATGCATACATGTACATAAATGCACGTACATATACGTACATTAATATGCATTCTTATGCATACATATGCATACATGTGCATACATACATACATACATATACACATACACATACACATACACATGCACATGCACATGCACATACACATACACATACACATACACATACAAATACTCATACACATACACAAACACATACACACACATACATACATATACATATACCCTGCGAATCTAACCTCCCTCTGGGACGAGGCGTTTAATAACAGCCCTGAGAAGCAAGGCGCTTCGTTCAAGAGCCTGATAACAGCCTAGTTTTTCAATGCCGAGATGGGACACTGTTTTGGGTGATCGAAACCCACCTCAAACCAATAAGCAAATGCTCTGGAATGCCGTTTTTTTCCGACCGAAAGCCCGTCATCGACGCATGAATGCTCTGTGGATGTCCTTCCTGAGTCAGACCAACTCCTGATCATGTGGCTAGCTCCAAAATTAATAATTGATGGCACGGCACCAAGGTCCGAACCTTTGACCCGTCCCATCGAGTCTTCTTCGGCAAAGCAATGCATGTATCGAACATTAAGTCCTCAGCCCATATGGCCCCCGACAGAGACACTTGCAATTGCACAATAACACCGAACTTTATGCAGCCTTGAGTCTCCAGGCTTTCATTTGTCGCAGCATATGCATCATCATCTCAGCACTCTACAGACAACAAGATCTCGCAGAAACCCGGAGCTCGACAAGCAAACATACATATGTTGCAGCCCAGGGCACATGGTGTTTGGGCTTGAGAGCCCAGGCCAAGATTCCCATCCTGCTTGCAAAAAGACACAGGTTGTGGGAATGCACGTTAACTCGATTTGGGATTGATGCTGACGATGAATCAGAAGACCCATCCTGTGTGACAGAGTCGTCAGTTTCAGATGATAATCCAAGAATGTCTTGCCAGCTTGGAAGATCTTTTCAGATTCATCGGCAGACCTGAGTGCTGGCTTCGTGCGTCGTGCGGCCATGCGCCTGGATGCTGCCGGAGCACGTATATCGTCCAGATCTCTCGAGGAGGCCAAAGAAGCGGGCATAGGCAGTCCTTGATCGATCGATTTGGTTTATCCGGGCTGGCTTGAAATTTAAAGGGCTTGGGAATAATTGCTCTTCAGGGTATTCGCTCCTACTCCTGGGGATATTGCGCTGGCTCAGGGCTTAGGGCTTAGGGTTACGTTCTTTAGGGTTTATAAGCTCCTATTCCTAGGGATATTGCGCTCGAAGTTCGGGGTCGGCTCCTAATAGCTAATAGGGATATAGCTGTGGAAGTTTCATTGCCACGGCCAGGAGGGGCAAACGAGGGTCTTGCAGCCGACCCTCCTCCACCACCTCTCTTGTTACATCCGAGAGCCATTCTAGTATCACTCTTCCATTGTATGCCTTGGCGGTCATATCATGGCCGTGAACTTTCTTGACAATCAAGCTGACATTGACGCGCTTCTGAGAACACGGGATTCGGTGGCGACATCTCCATTCCTTGAATCTTGAAAATGCCACGTCCAGCCGCTGCTGCACATCCAGCACTGCAGGATCCAAGAAATAGCCCAAGGATACCAGGGTCATCCTAGGCTTGAACGGGAAATGCATCGGTCAAATTTATAATCTTAGGCTTTCAAGTTTACGGGTTTATGCGTGCTTGCAATTGTACAAGCGGCAAACATCCTCCATGGGCGGTATAAACCAGTCCCTAGTTGCAGCAGTGCATTGAGCAGATTTTGACCATCGATATATCGAAAGCTTGAAGGCGGATGAGGGGACCTTGGGTTGGAGGAATCGATATAAATCAGGCTTTGGGGGTGTCAGGACCTTTGGTTAAAAGGGTGATCAGGCAACCCACAGTATTCACCTCGGTTGCAGCCCAATTTGGCGGCTGCTGTGAGTCGCCTGTGTCGTAATACTTCATTGCCGAATCATCCGCTCGAGCATCACACAAGAAGCAGGGTTGCTTACTCACAGGAGTTGGCAACAGACGAAGCACCTTCTCCGACCACTTCCAGTCCCCCTTAATTTCGCTGCAGCAGAAGCGGCGTCCTGCGGCCAGCGGCGTGCCGGCCACTTTTTGCTTCGAGGCACAAAGCGGCCCGCCATCGTATCGGTTGGAGGGGTGCTCTCCTTCGAAGGCAACGTTCGCAGACCAGGTGATTTGCTCCAGGATTGGATGGAGTGTTTTCATGTCATCCTCGGTAACGAGCTCCTGTGGTATCGCAGCTATCAAAAACTGCCCTTGGCGAACGGAGCTGGGACGAAACAGAGGAATGCTCATAAAAAATGCCACCACCTTATCATGAAGGTCTGAGCTCAAGCAGCATTCATCGCCATACAAGCTGAAGGGTATTCTGATTTGTCACCAGGGAAGCCCTTTGCCCAGGGCATGTCGGCATGTCCACCCGATCCAGGTGTTCATGATAGGCCTGCACCAGCTCAGCCGGCACTTGCACCTTCACTTCATTATAAAGGTATGCCAACACTTCGTGAACGTCCAGAACTGGGATCTCCATCGATACTTCAGTTTGCTCACCACTGCTGCTCAAGGACTGAACAGGTACTGTGATCATTGTGGGCTCCTTAGGTATACGTCTAGTCCAATTGTATAACCTGACAGCTGAAGCCCTCAAGAACCCCACCGATTGCCATATGCGAGGACCCATACAGGAAGTGCAAGATCCTAATTATTCAATTTCGACTAGCAGCTTTGGCCGGCTATTGAAGACTCAAGCTCCCGAGAAAACCCGAGAATTCAATCCGAGTATCCAGAGGAAGACCAATCTTCTTGAAGAAATTTCGTGCATAATTGCCAGGCTTGAATTTCATCAAATCATTGACAGCTCTGCCCCTAAACTTCTCACCAGCATCCTCCAGGTATCATCATGTGTAGCAGCATGCAATCGCAATTGTATCCCTAGTTTGCGTGCAAGGAGTCCTTGAATGCAGCTCTCGCACCATCCATAGCAGCAGTCACCGGGCTAGCCTGGAATGGCACAAGCTGGAAGTGTCATCAGCGGAGACTTAGGACAGTCAAGCATAATATAGCCGCCAAGCATCCCCATCGGATATGTTTCCATCATATTCTGCAGCAGGCCATCTGCAGCATCATCGCTGGAACCTGGCATGCCACTTGGCAACGACTGTGGCACATAGCAGAAATTGCAGGACATGCATGGATTCATTGCAACACGTGACACTGCGATGCAAACGGAGTCTAGCTTTTTCGGGCGGATGCGTACGATCCAGCTCTGCCATCCTTTGCCCTATGGCAAATTGCCACATGTGAGGCATATCACACTGTCAAGTTCGAACACCCTCGTTTCATGAGGCGGCCCCAAAACATGAGCTTTGAGGTTCAAGATTGCGGACCTGGCTCCGAAAAGGCCACGTGTAAATCATAGGACTAGGATCTAGCAGCCATAGCAGCCGTATGCACTTCAGTCCGCTGGAAGCCTTCGAAGCCAGATCCAGACTTCCGGAGCAATCGGCACTGAAATCTTAAAGCTACTTCTGGCCCTTGGGGCTCTTCTTGGAACCCACTTTTCGTGACAAGTCTTTGCTCACATTATCACACTTCTCGCAAGCAGCCAGAACATCCTTCGTGAGGGTCGGCATGTTCTCGATGTCCTATGAGCAATCAATATAGGACGGATGCATGTGTACTCCAAGTCTCCGTCCGACAAAGGCCTCGTGGTCCACGCCGTGCTGCAAGCTGTTTCGAAGCTCCTGGAGCTTGGCGACCTGGAAGTGGGGCTCGTGCTTAATTATTGTGTGGGGGAGGGTCAGAGGGGGGAATCTAGGAGTGTAGGGTTTCCTAGGCTGGGCTATAAGATAAGCATTCTGCCACTAGCACCATGGGGGGTTGCGCTTGCGGGGCTTGGGATGCGTTGCTTTTGGTCTGTGGTCGGACGTTCTAGGAGGAGTCGCTCAGAAGCACGAACTATTTCATTACTCGAACCAGCATTTGCACCAGGAGTCGCAGGTACCGTAACAGTATAGCAGCAGTGTCGCTGTATATAGCACTACAGCAGCATATAATCATATATAGTAGCACTAGTAGTAGTAGTAGTAGTAGTAGTAGTAGTAGTAGTAGTAGTAGTAACTTAGTAGTAGTAGCAACAGCAGCGTGTGTAGTAGTCGTAGTATAGTAGTAGTAAAGAGTCGTCGTCGTCGACGTCGTCCCAAGAACTCCCTTTTATAAATTATTCATGACCTAGCTGGGTTATTATTAGCCACTAGAGCCATAGGATCTGTGATGAGGTTACAATTATTACACTGGGATCTTCAGAACTCGGGCCTGACTCAAGATCTATACTATAGATCATGCAGCAGTCCGACAATTTGAATTCCCGATGGGCTGTGGGGTTTTGGGTTTTAGTGTTTCGGGTTTAGGGTTTTAGGGTTTCGGGGGTAGGCGGGGTGTGGATGCGAACTATAATGTCACACTCGAAGCCGCTGCAGGCTGAAATCCCAAACCGGACACCCTAAACCCTGAGCCTAAAGCCTAGACCCTCAGTTCCCTGCGAGGCTCGCCCCCTTCCGAAAGTTTCTGGTCGACTGCTTCGGAACCTACTATGCCGCCTGGGTACGGCGCCCACGGCACGTTGGTGAAGGTTTACCGGTTTTGGAGTTTTACGGATTAGGGTTCAGGGTTTAGGGTCTTAAGGCTTATTAAGGGCTATTACTTATAAGCTGGCCTCATCCTTCAGATCTTTCTTCATGGCAGCCAGCAGATGATCGCCCCTGGGAACGGCACACCGAAGAGATCACCCGAACCCTAAATTCAACATGAGTCAAGATCTTGCGGGATGCAATATAATGAGGTCAACACACTTTCTGGGAGTTCTCCTTCGCAAGATCGTTCGCAGCCTTGATCTTTCCGGTAGCCTTGTCTCGGGCCTGATCATCACAGCCCCATGTAGGATTCGAGGCTTTGGGTTCAAGGGTTAGGGCCATTAGTGTCAGGCTTTGGGTCCAGTGTTGGATCCTGGGTTTTGATTTTCGGACTGTTGAGGATTGGGTTATAAACAGGATTGGGAATTGGACTCCAGAAGTGGGGATTTATAAATTGTCATCAATATTGGTTCAAGGGTTTGGGGTTTAAGGAATGTGGTATATGGGCAGCAGCATCTAACCAGGACTCCAAGGGAAGGCTAGAGACTGGAGGAGCCGCATATGTCGGCAGCAGCCAATGTTAGACTACTCGGGTCTCAGGGTTAATTATTTATATGATGTATGTATATCCAAGCCCAGGCTAAACAAACCCTAAAGCCTCGGCCAACTTTACACCCCTAACCGCCCCCCACCCAAAACCCTAATCCAATAACCCCACGATGTATATCTATATAGATTCTAACTTTTAATTCGAACGTACACATAGACAGGAATATCATCATGATCCCGGGAGGACACCGAAATCCCCTATCCCCCGAAATCCCATATCTCCCAATTGCAACCAATATAGCCCACGACCTTGAATACCGACCCCCCTCTACCAAAAACAAGACTAGAAACACTTGTAACCCGGGAAATCCGGGAAAGCACGAATTCTGAAAGCCCAGGCTCTCGCCTTCTTTGCGTCCTTCATGAGCGCCTCGGTGTCTGCGGCTCCGGAGGCATCCTGGAGGGGTTTCTGGTGTGAGATTAATTGACGACTGCTTGGGGCATGTTTGATACGTATAAAACTCCAACATGAGATGACATGCTGTCCTGCGGGGCGCCTTTCTTTTTGGGAGCAAGTTTCTTTTTGGGCTTTGCTTTGCCTGCCTTCTTGTTCTTTGCCTTCTTTGCTTTTTTCTTCTTCTTCTGCTTCGGCTTCGAAGGCTCTGTCTGCCTCATCAGAAGCCTCCGTCGAATCATCCGACGACTCGCTGCTTCCCTCTTCGGCCTGGAACAGCCTTTCGATTTCTTCGAGTTCTTCATTTTCCTCCACATCTTCAGCCAGGCAAAGAAACTGCGTCATGTCCTCCAGAGCATTGCTACCAGGTTGGGCCGATTCTAGTTGGAGGAATAGGAGATGCAGGGGAATCATCACTTAAATAGTGTTTTGTGCCCTCGCCTCCCGGTGCTTGCATTCCGGGTGGTCACGAACTTCCTTCTTCGAAAGCTGTGCATCGTCCAGCTTTGCATCCCGGATGTCTGTCGCGACACTTTCCCCAAATCGCTCGCACGTCTCTGCAAACGTCATCCATTGCGAGTGCCGCGGCTTTTTTTTCGAGTTCTTCTCCTTCAAAGAGATGAGAAGCTTCGAGGACCTCCAGTTCTCGCTGCTGGTCAACCAAGACTCAAAGAGGTACGACCTCTCCGTCTCCGCCAGCTTCAAGATCTCTGGTGGCGTGTTAGCACCTGGGCCCCAAAGAGATATAGATAGAGGCTCTGGGCTTTGATTATATCGCTTGAACAGGGGAACATGCGTATATCGTACACAGACAATTGCACATGCTTCAGCTCACCAGACTGCGGTGGAATCGCATATAGCGGGCGTGCAGCCTCTTTCGCCTCGCCTCCTTATCCTCCTGATTGGCATCGCCCTGAGCAGCCTGAGCATCCTCCCCAGGAGTCTCCTTGCGATCATCCTTGGATGTCTTATAAGTGATGCATTAGAGCCCGGGGGGTGAAACCCCATGTCTTTTTGGGCCTGTGAACGCTAAAGGGTTCTGGGGTTCAAACCATTTGAGCCTAAAGGGTGTTCGTTCAAGCTACTCAAATCTATGCAGGACAAAAACAGTCCAAGGGCATGGAGTCAAAACCACAGAGGTTTCAAAGGGCCTACAGAAACTGTTGACAGGCATCAGGCAGTAGGCGCTATGCCAAAATCAAGAATTATTTCAATCCGGTGCAGGACGCTACATAGCAGCACTAGGTTTCCGTTTTGGAAGCTTTCCGCCGAATTAATATATCAATAGCGAATAATGCACAGCACGCCCCACTGCCTTTTTTCAAACCCCGCGCATCATCCAGCGAACACACTACGAAAGCCACTACCGCCTCTAGATTTTGCCGCCGCAGGCTTGCGTTAGCACAGCAGTGCAGCGCAGCTCCTGCATGGCGGCGGGAGGATGCAAGAGCCCGGACTTGCAGAAGCCGTGAAGTCCGGGCTCTGGGCTGTCAGCAGTGTTGCTCCAACCGAGGTATCCCATACGACTGAATCGTATGGCATACCCCTGTTGGAGCATGAAAACCCCGTGCTGCGCTTCCGGCAGCTTGCACCAAAGTCGAAGCTACATCATGAAACCCAACTGGGAGGTATGACCATCGCAGAGGAGGTGATGATCCCCA